CAGAAGGGGAATCCTCCCTGCTCTTGTGAACCCACTGTCCACCCACCCATTTCACACCCATTGCCCTACAGTGGCTGTCTTGCTGGGTCAGAGAGTGCCTCGAGAAACAGATTTGTTCTCTGAATCTCTGCTTTGTCCTGGCACTACAGCAGGGGCAGGCAGGTTGTGTCTGGTGCATCCTCACACCCCAAGTCCTGGTGAGCAGTGGTGTTAAAAGAAATGGCTGAAAACACTGAACTAGGGCTGCCTTGGGACAGCAGAAGTGCTGGTGGGGACTGGAAGGGCAGTTAGGGTGTTGAGACAGACTGTGGAACAAGTAGAGTGTGCTATAGGTAGAGTCTTTGGAGGGCAGAAAGAATGGGTTCACACTTTGGGCCTTCCATTTACATCCAACTACTTTGTAAGCTGGTAATGCTTCTAGATAGAGTCTGTGATGGTCTTCATGGCAGACACACAAGTCAGTGCACAGAGTATTAGAATTTGAGCTAGGTAGGAATTTTTCCCATCCTTAGGAGCTCTTGGAAATGTTCGGAGTTTCCTCCTCTCTTGGTATCCCAAAACACCTTTTAATGTTTGTCCCATCCTGACACCTGCCTTTGGTAGCCAAATATCTGGCCTTAATGAAGGATGGACTATGTCCCTGCCTCTACACTGCAATACAGAACCACTGAAATCAAACATGAAGACACAGGATTAACACACAGAAAAATCTCCTTTTCCTATTGTGGATGTGTAAGTGAGGGGGAAATGGGCAGGAAAAGCACAATACAAGATAATACACAATAGTTCTGCATGTAACTGCCTGCACCTTACTCTTTAGTCAGGAGGTATTCTGTATGTTAATAAAGAATACAAAACCAAACAGGTTTTGGATCATAAGTAATATGTGATAATTCCTAAGAGAAGTTCAGCCATATCTCAGACAAGGATGATATACATGTTCCTTCCATTTATGGCATTCAAAAACAAGGTATCAAAACCAGATTAGCTGGCTGCCTTTATGGCACCTGTTATCTGCCAGTGATTTCAACTGCTCAGCAATGTTCTCAGACATTTTCCGTTGGGAATAGTTGCTTTCTCAAAAACCTTGATTTCCTTTCCATCCAAATCCTTCTCCATCTTCAACTCCTTCTACCTCTTGTTGTGTCTCTTTTTGACTACTCTACCCAAAGACCACACAGCCTTCTCAGCCCACTCACTTGTTCTGTAACAGGAGCTCCTCAGCTGCTTTGGTGAGTGATGGAAAGGGCATCCAGGTCATGTCCTCATCCAGGTCGTGTCCTCATCCAGGACCCACACTCTCCAGTTCTCTTCCATGGGTGCTTTCTGGAAAGATAGGAGAAGCCTAAGTAACTGTGCAACTTTTGATATTCACTCAGCCCCTGCCCAGGTATTATTTTTTACCTTCTTCACTTCACAGTTAAGTGGTGCTGAGATATCCTTGGAGCTGCTCTCTTCCTTCTCTCTTTTCTGAAAGACAGAAGTGTGAAACATTAAACATAATCGTGTTACAGACTATGCTATACCATTAAGCCATACCATAAATGTATTGAAAAAAATAACCCTGAGGCAGTCAAGGGTAGAATCAGGAGAAAGAAAGAACTCCAGAGTCCCTCTGTGTT